ATTGTTGCAAAGCTTCCTTTAATTTAATGGAAAATTAATATTTAAATACTAGAAAAATAATAACCAAATAGAAAATAGTGCTCCATAATTCAAGGAGTCACTACTATCTAAGTGGAATACAAATGAAAAACTAACTAGTAAGCTCGAAAAATAAGAAACTAATTTGTCCACTACCAATGAAATAATAGATATTCCACGTTGATTTAAAGGCCGTTTATTTTGACTTTTTTTTAAAATAACTTCTATAATATAATATAATTTTATTATTAAATTTTTTTATAATGACTTTAAATAAAAATTTGATTTTGATTTGAATAATTATTTTTAAAATATTATTTTAAATATTATATCATTTTATTAAAAATTCGTTTGAATAACAATTTTTAAAAATCACTTCATTTTAAAAATATTTTAAATAGTTTTTCACAAAAATTATTTTTAAGATACAACTTTTAAAAAAAATTGATTTCAACTATATTTTAATTTTCAATAATGTATGTTTATGATATAAAATGTCAAAATTAATCGTTCAATTTAAAAAAACAAATATAAAAAAAAAACTTGTAATATTTTTAAGAACAATTTTATAAAATCTATTTTTAAAAATACAAAGCTCTTTTAATGAATATTTTTTTCAAAATATACTCCCAAGTAGATATGCATAACTCGAATTTTTTTTAAAGTAGCAATGTTATATAATTTAATTACCAAATAAAATAAGCTTTCAAAAAAATTACCAAAATGACAAACTTTGAAACTCATCCAACAAGCATTACTGGCGAATTAGGCCATTTGAGAATTGGTCAATGTGTTATCGCCACATGATGTGGCGAATGTGGCTAATTTTGAGGGTTTCCAATTTTTTTACGTTTTTCTTGTTTTTTTTATCATATATTTAAAGTTTTAAAAATTTATTTGTTTTTTTATTTTAATATCATTATTATTAGTAACTATAAAATATATTAATTTATAATATAAATAATATTAATATAATTAAAATTTAGCTCTTTGTTTTTACGGGAGAACTTGTAAAGGATAAACTCTAACATCCAATTTAGCTCTTTGTTTTTAAATTCACTTTTTATTAATGAATTTGGTGTTTTAAAGTTTAACCGATGTACAATTTGCTTCTATCATATGATGAATTATCACTCGTATTAGGATAACTGTATTTGATGTATGTAGTATAGTATATATGTGCATGATAATTTGAGGATAGAAATCATGCAAGTAGAATGTATGGTTATGAGGTGTTATGAGAATCATGCATATTTATCATCACCATGCAAATTTTATATAAAAAAGCACGATGCATGGTATTGTATTATGTAACCATTCAAGCAATATGATTAATGAGATTCATATATTCTATTAAGCCGGACCGTATGATTAAGAATTCGTTTTTTCTTTATTTATTTTATTTATTTATTATAAAAAAGTTGAATTTTATTATTTGATTCATACGAGTTAGAGAATGTATGTTAGAGTTTTATGAAGAAATGATATTCAATTGTTAATAGAGATTGGAATAACGCGTGAGAGAGGTGTTAAAGTTTTGCATTAGAAGATCTACGACATTTCTATAATAAAAAAAACTCGTTTATATATAGACAATATTATTCACCACGGTTGATAGTTCCAACCATGATGAAATGTCTATAATTAAGATGTTTTAAGTGTGTAACTGAGCTACATGTTATAACAGTTGCTTTTATAGATCATGGTCAAAACTAGTTTAATTTTAATGTAAACATAAAAAATTAAGGGGACACGTCCTTTTTGTAATGAAAAAATACGAAATTGTTGGAGCTGAAATTTAAAGTGTGTCACTCTTTAACCTATCACCATAGTTGTTAGTTTGGAGTGTTGTTAGTTTGGAGTTGAAATTTAAAGTGTGTCACGCCTAAAGATGAGTTATTTCTTCGGTGGAATAAATGGCCAAAATAAAAAAAATGTTATGAAATGTATATTTTATAATAGTGAGTCAATTAAATTTGGAGGAGGACGGTGATGATGCACATCTCAATTCTAGGGAAAACATGGACCAAAGTAATGATTTTGTTGAGGGAGAAGATGTTGTGCGCAATTTTGAAATAAATTTCCCTCATTAAAATTAGATATTGCAGTTACTTAGTTATTTAGTTTATGTTGCAAGAGTGAGAACTAACTTATCTTAAGAGTAAATTTTTTTACCCTACTTCAAATCATAGTCTTTAACCATTAAATTAGATTCAATTTTAAGGATATGATTTGGAGTAAGCTAAAAAATTTACTCTTGAAGTAAGTTGATCTCCACTCATGTTACAATTAGAATATGCGACAATAGACTTTGTTCAAAACTTATTTGGATTTATATTTTGTACTATTTTATTGTGTATGATGACTATGTTAAGAATTAGAATTTAAATAATGAATTTGTGAAATTATATGTAATTATGATATTTTAAAATGTTTTAGGTGTCATAATTTATTTAGAGTCTATATAATTTTATTATAGAGACAAGTTTATTCAATCAGAATATCTGTTTTTATCTGATTTAGTCATGCAATTCGACCAATAACTCAATAATTTGATTAATGAATCTATGACTCAATACTTTCACCAGTTTAATAATCGGTCCAACTTTTAAAATATTGAAAAAAACACAACACAACTATTTATCATTTAAGTATAACGAAACATAAAACATATATTTACACCGATAAAAATATAAAATAAATAAATAAAAAATATTTGTTGGATAAAAAGTAAGATAAATAATTGAACAACAAGAGAAAATCTATTTCAAATTTTATAAGCTAATTTTAACAATAAAATATTTATTTTAAGATAAAAGAAAAGGAAGAGGTGTAATTCTAACTTATCTCAAACAATAAAATAAATTCTTAGTCAGATATATTATTAATCTTATATATTGTTTACAACCTAATAACAATATTTATCATATACTCCTATGATCTCGCAAGGGTAGTTGCTTAGTAGTACTATATAACTTCAAAAAGCTAAACTCTAAGAAACACAACTAGTACTCCCAATTTTCTCTCTGCAATTGACTGTTGGTTGATTTATAAATATGAATTTGGTGAAAAAGTTTAAGAGAATGTTAAGAAGCCGTAAGAGCATTTATCCAGATAAAACTTGCAGCGGAAGCTATGCGAAATTATCATCAGATACAAGCCGCAAAAAGCTAAAAGACAGTCACAAGAAAACACCAAACGGTTGTGTTTGTGTCGACGTTGGACCTGAGAGACAGAGATTTGTAATCAAGATCAAAATATTCAATCATCCTTTGTTCAAAACGCTTTTGGAAGGTGTTGAGAATGAATATGGATATAGAAACGACGGTCCTCTATGGCTTCCTTGTGATGTTGAGTTTTTCTGTGAAACACTTGTGAAGATAGAAAGTGTTTTCCCAAAGAGTCACACTTAGTTACGAGCTTTTGGTATAATTTTTTTACATATGTAAACAGATTCTTATTTTTTTTAATGATATATCTGTGTGTTTTCATTTCTATAATATGTGTTTTGTTTAATTTTTTTAAAATTTGTTAAGCTCAATTTAGCTCTTTCCATTTAAATCATTTTTTATCAAAATTATAGTGTTTTAATATTTTACCGATATACAATTTGGGAATTTTTTTTTAAAGTAGCAATGTTATATAATTTAATTACCAAATAAAATAAGCTTTCAAAAAAATTATCAAAATGACAAACTTTGAAACTCATCCAGCAAGCATTAACGCGAATTAGACCATTAGGGAATTGGTCAATGTCTTGTCGCCCCATGAATTGGGGAATGTGGCTAATTTTTAGGGTTTCCAATTTTTTTTAGTTTTTCTTGTTTTTTTAATCATATATTTAAAGTTTTAAAAATTTATTTGTTTTTGATTTTAATATCATTATTATTAGTAACTATAAAATATATTAATTTATAATATAAATAATATTAATATAATTAAAATATATTAATCTCAATATTACAAATAAATCCGCATAAAATCCTCATATTACAAATTAAATTTCAGTCTTCGTATGATTCATCGATGACATTGTGTGATCAGTTTCATTAGTAATTTGTGGTGAATGAGAAGAAGACTCAATAAATCTTAAATTAATTATTAAAAAAAATTTTATCCTTCGATTCAATCATTATTTATATTATAAATTAATATATTTTATAGTTACTACTAATAATATTTTATAATTACTAATAATAATGTTTTAATTATATTAATATTATTTATATTATAAATTAATATATTTTATAGTTACTAATAATAATGATATTAAAATCAAAAAACAAATAAACTTTTAAAACTTTAAATATATGATAAAAAAAATAAGAAAAACGAAAAAAAATTAGAAACCCTAAAAATTAGTCACATTCGCCAATTCATGTGGCCACAACACATATTGACCAATTCCCAAATGGCCTAATTCGCCAAATGGTTTGGCGAATGCCTTGAAACAACATTTTAACTAATTCCCCAAATGGTTTGCCGAATGCTTGCTGGATGAGTTTCAAAGTTTGTCATTTTGGTAATTTTTTTAAAGCTTGTTTTATTTGGTAATTAAATTATATAACATTGCTACTTTAAAAATAAATTCGCATAACTCTCCTATACAAGAGATATTTAGCTGCGTGATTTACTTATTTGAGAATCTAAACGACACATTTTTGTTCCTTGTGAAGTTAAGAGGTGTAGTATAAGTGTATAACCCTATTGAAAAATGGCAATGGATCAAGATGTAGATTGCCTTATTATTTATACACCTCACTTAAAAAAATTATCAACCAAATATAAGCGGAGAACTCTTTCCATCCCAAAAGCACTTCGGAATTAAACATTCCGACAAAAACATGTTTGTTTTCGTTCAAACGTGTACTTCTAGTGAAGTTTTTTAAATGTGGTAACGGGCAATTTTGCTCTCAAATATCACTCATCGTGTCTTAATCCTAGATCATGAATATGAAGGATCATCATGACAGTACACCAGCTTACTTGAATCTATTCATTACGAACTTGTACATACGAGTTAGCCCTTCGATATGGCTATCTGTGTAACCATCTCCAACGAGTTTGTGCACAAGTCCCCCTTGATCCACTTTTAAGCACTTCACCTTTGAAAAAATTAAACCTGCCTTTGGAGGTCTTACATCAATTAGAGATCTTTCATATATCTCTTGGCAAACTTCTATGACCTGATTAACAAGAAATGGAGTTGAGAATACTTGACGATCTTCTGAGAATGTATCCAAAAAAATAGATCTTCTAAAAATACATCAACAGTTTACAGACCATGAAATTGAGATTCAATTAGTAAACCGTAAAACACAAGTGACATAACAAAATTATAATGACAAAAGAATTCAAGATTCTAGTCAAATATCAAATCACAAAAGAAAAGTGGTTGGTTATACAAAGTTGACAAAAAAACTTGTTGACTATACTAAGTTTAGGTAGTGATTCATTAGAATTAATCGGGATTCAAGATGGGACTCATGTCCAAATAGATACACACTAGTGACTCGTATCGATTAGTCAATTTAGTTTCGAATCGAGATACAACTCGCATGCATAATAAGATATTGATAATCATGATATAGACGATGTCAAATGGTTAATTGTGTGGTTTGAGAAATATCTTAAGAACTTCTCAAGCACTACAAACCGGATGAATATGCTGCAGTTCGTTGGTCACATCAAAGCATAACCAAAGTAAAAGCTCTATTGTATTCTTATCCTGTAGTATGGAGCTACTTTTTGAATTCAATGATATGAGCAAAATTAAAAACTGAATTTATTTACCTCAGTGGCATCTTTCCAAGGAATTCCTTCACGTCCACCAATAAGTTTCTTGACAACCTCAGGCTATGAAAGATGAAAACACAGATTCATCAGCTAGGAAAATTCAAGGTAGAAATTTTCATGCGTTTAAAATTAAATCAAGAAAACATTTTCAAAGTCAATTCTCTATAGCGACTTTAAAAATCCAGTGTAAAATGAAAACAATTGAGTTCGATAAATTATTTAAATCCTATTGGGCATAAATTTACCGGGCAGTCAGGATGGTGTTCGAGTATATTTTTATAGAATAGTGTGAAGGTATCCAGGCTCCAAGCTGACGCAAGTTCCCTCAAGTTACTAAGTACACTCATTCGGTTTTCAACTTTCTAATCCAGAGTGCCAAGGAAATCAGTCAGAAACTTGGAAGCAGCATGCTGTAATATTCACAGTAGAGGACAACGGTAACAAAATGTCTAAAACAGAACTTACAGAAACACTAATATGTTTCCAAAAAAAGTTCACAATAAGCTCCTCATCTAGCCTCATCCGTTCAATAGTTTCTTCCTTAATATAGTTTTTCTGCAATTAAAATTATCCATGAAACAACTTAAGTCAAATGAACAGAAACCTCTTACGGAAGAATATACGTACAATTTACAAACCAATAAATAAGAACCAAAAAATGTTTTATTAAATGAAGAGACCTGTGTTAAAAGTTTATCAACATAAACAACCACCATTTCCTCCAAGCAAGCTTCCACGAAACTCTCAAAATATCTTTCTTCAATGTACCTTGAGTACATGGGATGTTAAAACTTTAGTTTTCCATAACAGAAAAACTTATAGAGAAACTGCTAGAAATTGGACAGGCTACACTGCTTAATACAAAACGTCAATTAAAAAGATAGAGAAAAGTGAAAAACTAATAAAGAGCAGAAGAAAATAAGGTTCACTCATCATAAACATTTTAGAAAAGTTAACTAAAATCTACCTAGTAAGGTAAACTAGTATGTTCTAATATTGAGCTACTCTAACTCGTGTAGTCCTTGTTTTATTGGATTGTATTTCTGTAACCACCTCTCTGGCAATTGTCAGTTAGTTAGATCTGAGCTAATAATGTGTAACCCCTCAGCATGTCTATAAGTTGGAAACTGCACTTTGGTGCACTGTACCAATTCATTCAGATCGATACACAAAATTCAGTTTTCCTCCTCCAAATTCAGTTTCCACCGTCTCAGAGGTAGCATTACCAGCATCTAAGAGTGTTAGTTACATTCTTCACCACCATCTCTGAAAAGCTCGATTCTCTGAACTGACCTCCTATGGTGCCGACAAGTGAAATCAGTAATCAAAGATCACCGGAAATTATAGATTCACCATTTTCTGGTAAGTTCTTCAATTCCAGATAAAATTTCTAACACTGTAGACTGTAATAATATTTGCAGCTCAGTAATAGGCCGGACGTGGTTCAATCAAGGAAGGAGAAGAAAATTCTTGAAGAGTTCAGAGTTCGATGAAGGAATACAAGGAGCAACATACACGGATTCCAGTACTTCAAGGACTACAAGGAAGTAGAAACTGCAACTATATAATGGAAATTGATTTCAGCTAAATATTGGAGTGGGGTTTTTATTTTCCCCTTTTCAGGTTTGTGCAAGTTGTTGTTCACTGGTTTTCTGAATGGTGTTGGGTTTCACTGGATCTGGGTGTTGTCTCAACAGTTTACAAAGCATGCATTTATTCTAAAGTTTATAAGAATTGCACAATCTTCATCCCCTTGAGCTAGCTTTCATGGTTGAACTAGTCCTAACCCTAACTCAAATTCTAAGATTTAGCTTTGAAGATGAGCAATTTTTTCATTGATGTCAGTGAAAGCAGGCAGAAGTAAACAAAAGAATAGACCACCAATTTAGTTTCATATCATCACTCTCCAATTTAGTCTCAAATTTTCACTCTCCAATTTAGTCCATAAACTATATAAATATAATAATTAACCCTAAAGTACGTGAAAATCCGTCAGTTTAGTCCCTAACATCTTAATAGGAGGGACTAAATTTTAGAAATTTATATACTTTAGGGACTGAATTGGAGAGAGTGATGGTTTAGGGGGGAAATTGATGGTTTATTCTAAACAAGATAGAGCTAATGAGATCAGAAAATATACTCACATTCTTACTTCAGTAAAATATCCATCAAATGTTGCAACCACCTCCTCAGTAACCTTCCCCTCACTCCATTCTGAAATATGCAAAGCAAAAGAAAAGTTGATTTTCATATTTAAGACATCAAAAAGGGTTGTAAAGCAGATGATTGATTAGAGATAAAAGGAAACACGGTAAGTGTATCGTATTTACATTGAACTTTACCAGTAAAACAAAATAATGCTTGAAAGGCTGAAACTGGTATAATGCATCCAATACTCTATTGCGTAGAAGCAACAATAAAGTGCTAGAAACTTGAACCATAACTGATCACATAAACACTTATAAATAGTTTGCAGCCAATTACACCCTAATGTTCAAGGGAATGCATTTCCTTGTCAAGCAGAAGAATTTATTAGATAACAAAATAGAGTTCAAGAATAAGGAATTCTTCCAACAAAAAAGGAGGCCACTATTGTAAAAACTTAGTAGCATGAACCCAAACGGAAGTCATAAACCAACACAGAAGACAGCTAGGCGATTGTAAACAATGTTTTACCTTTCTGGTATAACTTGACCAGCAGATGCTGAACTACCGGATCTGCAAATATCACACTTATAATTTGATCAACAGCTTCCTATCACCAAAAAGAAATTTCAAATGATCAGACAAATGTAGGCTGAAGATCGAGTTCTCTAGGATCTTAAAGCTACAATAGGGAGATGACTACTATTCAACAAGGATGAAAGTTAACTATGGAAGCTTTTTCCTAGTCATCCTACACTTCCGTTGAAATCAATTTTCATAAATATAAGGCATAACTGGTTCTCTTACAATGTAGTGTCTAGATTTGAATCACATAGAAACACTTTAGATCGTAGGATAAGGATTATAACTGGAGCAAAAATTGATCAATGCGTGTATATGTTATCAAGATAAATTCAGAAAATCTCCTCAAGAATAATGCTTAAAGTAGGAGACGTCTGTAATTAAATGCATCATGCCACGCTGAATAATTATGATACAGACTATTACATGGAAGCCTTTAGATCATATGCAATGGAGCAAAAATTTAGCGATATATGCATATGTTTATGCAGATAAAATCAGAAAATTCTATCAAGAATAAACATGCTTAAAAGAGTGAGAGATAGTGAATGTTTATTAAATGCATCACATTATAGTGAATAGTAATAGTCCAGGCTGTCTAGATTTTCTTAAAAGTATATATTTAACACATGAAAGGCCTGCGAAAATCATATAGTATATACAGGGAGAATCAAATAAGCAATACTAATGTTTAGGGATTAAAAACAGTAATTGAAAAATCCTCTCTAATCTATCTCAGGAGAAATTAAGGAAAAACTTATCAATGAATAAAAATGAATAATAACGATTAATTACAATCGGCAATTAGAGTATGGAACTTGCACACTCTTCCATACCTTAGCAACCTCAAGAAACCCCATACAGGTATCTTCAAAATTAATCTGTAATGAAATAGAAAATATGAATATATAAATTAAATAAAAAGATAGTGGTAGTTTATTATTATGGACAAAAAGCCAAGACTATTTTGGGTAATGATTCAAGTACAAGGAAGAGCGGCCGTGAGAGCCACAAAGTCACAATCAAATCACCTACGTGCAGCCAAGGGAGCATCGACATAGGAAAGGCCCTTAAGAAATCTAGAATGTTATACAAGAAAGCCAACAATACTTGATTCCGTTCAAAACTGTCTGTTTTAAATGATCATAGTATAGTATTTCTTCTAGAGAGGGACATACAGTGATAAGAAATCGGAGCATTCTTTCATCATTCTAATGATGCATCAAGAATGAAAATATTTGATGTTTAAAAAAACTTTCAAGAATCACAATTTATATTGCAGCCGTTAATTATAATACTATTAAGCATCAAAAACAAACAAAAGACGATCACTTCAAGAAAAAAAGTTAAACAAAAAAATATATATCAACAAAAACAATGATTACCAAATTAATGAATCTAGGAAAAACAACAGAAAATAAAGCTCTAAACCTGCTCTGCATAGTTCTGTGGAAGGGCTTCTAAGATCCTATGACTTAGCTCCAATGCAAAATCATGGCAGCGCAAATTGTTGTTAATCTATATAAAATATTACACCTCATGTCAACAACAACATAACTACAACTGAAAACAATCCTATTTAAGACAATAAGCCGGCACTTAAAAATATTTATACTAACCATAGCACATAAAGGTCTCACACCAATTTCAGAAGCTGGTTCTTTAAGTCTCTTCTTTTCGGCTGCTTGAAAATCAATCATCACCTGTAAATATTTGTGGTGTTATCTTATATTGTGCTATAAGGGGCCCGTCATGGATTTCTGGTGACACCCTACCATAATGAAGATATTATTTCTGGTGACACCTTACCATAATATAATGATTATCCAATTTATACCAGCTTACCTTGTATTTACAGAGAATTTAGTTTTACAACTGATAATAATCCTACAATGCACATCAATTACATCTACATCTTATGTGATATTACTCTACGTTGTTAATCACAGATAGAGTTACATAACACCGACCCCTAAAATGTTATAGCAGTATAGCTGATAGCGGGATAGCCGCTATTGCAAAGACTAAAAATTAGTAATGTAAACATAAATATTCAGAAAGAGAAAAATACACACAACTAAAGAAACCTTCTTGCTTAAAAATTAAAGAACCTAAAGTACAGAGCAATAAAACTTAAACAAAAAAGAAAAACAGAACAGAACTGAACCAAAAGTAGGAAGTGCATAACGATTGTTTGTGCGCAAGAACATAACTTTACTCTTAATAGGGTCCGAAGACATTTATACTAAAAGACAATGGTTTGAAAAGGCTTCGAGGAATTTTGCCATGAAACCGTAATAGCAGTTTGAGGCCGCTTTATGGCCACTACACCCGCTAATATTGACGGTGCTTTGGAGGTCAAAAGCATCATTCCGAACCCTACTACCCCTACACAATTCCGCTAAAGCGTGCTATTGACAACATTACCTGAATACTAGCTAAGGAAATTCTGTAAAACATAACATCAGTGCTATGATCTCGAACAATTTGAATTTGGTCTTCAAGTATCCTGAATAGATCAACAGCAGCTGGGGTATATAGCTTCCCGTCTTTAGTTTCTTTTGGGAGCTGTGTTTTATCTGCCTCCAAAATATTCAAGTACCATTTCTAGAAAACATTAAGAACAAAGCTCAGTCCTATGCAAGATTAAGTCATCCTGGGAACTCGGAGTTTACCAAAGCTAAATAAATAACAAGAAAAGCTAGAATTACCCTTGTTGTAGCTAGCACTCGCTCAACATATGTATTCACAAGAGGATCCATTGCACCACTCTCAGAGCACACGTGGGCCAAAGACTCATCAACTCCAAGGCAAATCAGATTATCCTGATATTCAATCACCCAGCCTATTACCTGCTTGTGAAGAAAACACGAGTGTATTGTTTCCCATTAAATGTTCAGAGGGAGAAAAAAGAAAATACATAGCGAGAAATGGTTAAGATTAAACCTATAGGTAGCAAAGAAATATACCAAAATCCAGTAATAAAATAGAAAAATAAAATGCTTATTAGAATACAACAATTTGTCACTTCAACGATAGATGTATTAAAGAAAATATGAAACATAAGCTTTAGCATATTAGATGAGAGAGGTTGGAGAGAAAATGGTTAAGATTAAACTTATAGGTAGCAAAGAAATATACCAAAATCTAGTGATAAAATAGAAAAATAAAATGCTTATTAGAATACAACAATTTGTCACTTCAATTGAATTTCAGGAAGAAACCAGAAATAACTAAGAGCTCTGGTGAAATACCTTTAATATTTCAATATTTGACAAGCCATTTTCCCTGTTGCTCAGCAATCTTAGCATCTGAATAAACCTCTCAGTGTAAAGATTTACCATTAGTTGGAACATCGTATATCTGCCACAATTGTTAAAAACAAACATGTAAACAAAAAAACTCTACAAGCAAATGTTTCCTTAGAATGTATAGTATTATTCAGACAGAACCAAGGGAGCTGTAAGAAGACAAGTAATTCTCTGGGAGCTGTCTACCAATGACAACAGATGGTTTTGTTGGAGAGTATATTGAACTTCCTTTCCAAGTTCTTAGTAATATTTAAATTGAGGTCTCATTTTTTATTACAGACTGAAAACAAAGTATCCAATTCAGGGGAACTGTTGAGGGCAGAGTATATTACAACGGAAGAATATATTAAAATGGAAGGTGTTTGGGCTTTATCAATTAGTTATTTGCAGTGTATTAACCCAGTATGAAGGGTACAAGAGCCGTAATTAGGTCCAAGTATTAGTATAGGGGTATTCAATTAGCTTCTGACTAACAAGTAAAACATTCTGTTCTCTAAATATCATGCCCTTTTGAGTTTAGGATCAGCATAGATTGCTGGAAGATTCAGTTGGTAGCAAAAGGATATACCAAAATTTATCGCTTGGATTATGGTGATACTTTCTTCCTAGTTGCTGAGATGGTTTTTCGTGTGTTTGTTCTTATTAGAAAAAACTCAAGTTTCACGTTGGTTAAAGATAGAGCCTAAACGAGTTTATATAGAATGACACCTATCACCTTACAAGTCAGTTTTGTAGGGCTGAGTTAAGTCAAACTCTAATTCTAACATGGTATCAAAAACCTATCAATTTAGGACACTCACCATTTATATATCGCACCAAATTCAATAGTATTGGACGTAAGGGGGTGTGTTGGAAAAACCAAGTCCCACACAATTCAAGTCATCCACCATTTATATCCATGCATTAAACCCAATAGAGTTAGGTGTGAGAGGGTGTATTGGAAAAAATCCAATTCTCACATTGGTTAAAGTTAGAGCCTGATAAGAATTTATATAGAGTGACACTCTTCATCATACAAGCGGCTTTGAAGGAATGAGTTAAGTCAAACTCTAATTTTCAAAGTTCTTATCTATGACTACTATGAGAAGATGGCTTTTGTACTAGATTGGTATCAGCGTTGTTGATGGCGGATGGCGGTCCATGGCGGAGAGCCAAAATTCCGCCATACCGGCCACTTTGCGGCGCTGTTATTGCGGATTATGACGGAAAAACCCGCAACATTGGCCGATATCTTACATTGGTTAAAGATATAGCCTAATAAGGATTTATATAGAGTCATACCCTTCTCCTTACAAGGCAGTTTTATAGAGATGAATTAAGTCAAACTCTAATTCTAACAGTTCTTACCTATGACTACCATGAGATAGTGGCCTTTGTATTAGATTGATATTATAAATGCATTATTTGCATGGTGAACTGAAGGAGGAACTCGATATGGAATGGAGCAACCACTTGGATTTTTTTGTTACTCATGGGGAGTATGATCTTGTGGAAAGTCCTAGAAAAGAAAGGGGTTAGGATTGCATATATTCGAGTTATCCAAGATATGTATAAAGGAGTATCGACTAGTGTGCGGACACAGGGTGGAGAGACAACAGACAAATATTCCATTAAAATTGATTTGCATCAAGATTCAACCTTAAGCCTCTACCTTTTTACCTTAATTTTGGATGTACTCACAGAATACACCCAAGAGCTAACACCGAGATATATGCTTTTTACAGATGATATATTCCTTATTGGAGGGTCGAAGGAGGATTTAAATGAGAGGTTGAAAACTTAGAGACGAGCTTTAAAAACGCATGATTTTTGCCTAAGCAGAAGTAAGACGGAGTATATGGAATGTAAGTTCAGCAAAAGAAGTGTTTCTAACCTAAGGGTGAAAGTTGCAGACCGTATTATTCCTCAAGTCACACGGTTTAAATATCTTGGGCGCGTAATACAAAATGATGGAGAAATAGAAGGGGATGTAAGTCATCGAATTCAAGCTAGGTGGTTGAAATGGAGAAGGGCATCAGGTGTTTTATGTGATGCAAAGGTACCACTCAAGTTGAAGGAAAAGTTTTATCAGACTGTGGTAAGACCTGGGATTTTGTATGGGAAAGAATGTTAGGCAGTTAAGAATCAACACGAGAATAAAGTAAGCGTAGCAGAAATGAGGATGTTGCGGTGGATGTGTGGTAAGACTCGACAGGATAAAATTAGAAATGAAAATATTAGAGAGAGTGTCGGAGTAGGGCCTATAGTGAAGAAGATGGTAGAAAATAGACTTACATGGTTTGGACATGTAGAGAGAAGACCGGTAGATTCTTTAGTACGGAGGGTTGACCAGATGGAGAGAAGGAAAACAATTAAAGGAAGGGGAAAATCTAAAAAGACTATTAGAGAAATTATTAAGAAAGATGTCGAGATTAATGACTTGGATCATGATCCTTGATAGAACATTATGAAGAAAGTTGATCCATGTAGCCGATTCCACGTAGTAGGATAAAACTTAGTTGTTCTTGCTGGAGAGTATGATCTTGTGTGTAAGCTACAAAAGTCTTATATTGTTATAAATAGTCACCTCGAGTTTGGTTTGGCAAGTTTAATAGAGTCATCCAAGAGCTCAGCAGGATTCATTGTGATTAAGGTGAATCACTCTGTCTTATTTAGATGCACACCGTGGAATAAGCTGACTTTTTGTGGTGAATATAGATGATATTGTTATTAGACGTGAAGATCAAGAAGGCATTGAAGAATTGAAGCAACATTGTTCAAACTTTTCAAGCCAAATATCTTAGTAAATTGCTGTATTTTCCAGGAATTGAAGTAGCTAAATAAAAGACACATATTGCTATTTGTCAAAGGAATGCTTTGACATCCTGAAAGAAATATGTGTGCTTAATAGTAAGCCTATAGAAACACATTTGATAGTAAGCCTATAGAAACTCGTTTGAATCCAAATGTGAAACTTTTATAGTATCAATTTATCCTAATCCAAGAATATATAGATGATTAGTTAGGAAGTTAAATCATATCACGATTACTAAATCAGACATTGCCGATCATGTTATATCTCAATGGCTTTTGCCTTATTGACTTCTTAACATCTCCCATATTGGGTTATGTATGATAGGGTTAATTATGACTTGGTTAGTTTGTTAGAATAAATATCCTACTTTATAGGGCTGTTAGCACAGCACTTGGATACATTTTGATTTAGTCTTTATTAGTTTCTATTTTCTAGCTAAGTTTTAGGATAGTCCGTTTGTGTAATCAGCTATATATTAGTTTTTCTATTATTCAATAAATTAAGTCAGTTATCAGAGTTTCCTAACAATGTACTCATGATTAAGATGTAGAAAACAATGATATTCAACAACCATATAAAAAACTAGACAATAAACATACAACACACATCGTACCTAATCAGATAAGAGATCATAGCATGACAAAAGCAAAGAAGAAGAAAAAGGTAGTATATCTAATAACCTTGGAGGAAAGTAGGGGGCTACTACATAGTCAAAAAAATCCCTGAGTTCCTCTACAATCTGTATACAACAAAAGCAACAAGGTTTCATCAGTAATAGGGAATAAAACTGGATCTCAAGTGTAGAAAACTATAAATGATATGAAAGCAAGAAAGTATACTCTCATGTCATTTTGAACAAATACAAACTATGCCGGTCTGATTTATAACCAAAAAAGACAACTTTCACCCTTATTAATAAGGATAGTTAAGTGTACTTAATTTTCTTGATTTCCCATAAAAGAGATAACACAATTACTAATATACTCTTAATTAAATTGTCATCCATTAACAATATTAAGTAATTAATGCAAGGATAGTTTTGGAATAAATGCATTAAATGTGTCTAGATTTGTTGACATTTGCTTATATTTAAGGCCAAAAACTTTATAAGACTTTTGCTTATAAATAAGATCGAAAGGAGAGTATGGGCATTTGCTTAAATCTATGGCTTTTACAAAGAATGGGCATTAAATTTCAATTAAGTTAGTTACAGACTGTCAGTTAGTTCAGATTTACTCATCTACAAATAAGTGTACCTGTAATCCATTATGTTGAAAGGAAAACATTCAGATGCAGGTTTGTCAGAAACTTTCTAGCCAATTATCAAAATTACCAAAAAGAATGGCACATTTTTTGGGCAGTTCTAGTAATCAATATGATATAAAGCTCATGTACTGATCTAAGAGACAATGAAGGAATGATCTAGAAAAAACTAAAAGCAGACATGTACTGCAGGAAATATTTTAAAAAATATATTGAAAAGAGGGAAATGTATCACACAGCAATAAGGATAGCACACTATTGTTTTAAACGTGTGTGAATGTGTATGTGGAAATGTATCACACAGCAATAAGGATAGCACACTATATTTAGTTACAAGAATAATTGTAGTGGAAATGAGTACGTGGCAGCTGAGTGATATTGGACATAAAAGAAAATATACAACTTAAAGTGAAAGTATTTGGAAAAAGGTTGGGTACCACACCTACTATGAAGATGACAAAAACTCGGTGTAGAGTAAATAACTAAATACTTGACAATCAATCACCACACCACTTCTTCATCAAACTCCAAACAAAAATTTAGAAAAACCCTCATTTAATCATTGCTGATATCATTTTAGATTCAAAACTACTCAATATAATATCATGTCCTTTCAACCAAGGTAATCAATTACACATTACGGCAGCACTATAGTACCACGGCTATGTCTCGCTACATCTGCATCATGGAGTGGTTTTCGAGTCATGTCCATCACTCATAAGATAATGCACACTATTGTTTTAAACCAATGGTGAAAACCATCTTTGCTCCTGCATATTGAGTTTTGAACACCTAATTGGGGACATTCATGACTTCTCCATTCACACCCAAAATTTTGAATCAGAAATAGTAGTGTTCAAACTTCAAAGACTCTTCTTCCTTATTTGATGCAAAAAAAAAAAACAGACAATTGCCTCTGATTTGAACTTTGGCTAAACCAATCCCTGACCCACTACTCACAAGCATTATTTTTTGGCCTAGCCTGACAATTTCTGATACACACTGTTTACCTATGTCCTCTTCTGATCTCAGCTCACCAGTGTGCATGTTCAGGTCTGTGATAAGATAACACACATTTCTATTCACACACGTTTTAAAATCCATTCCCTCCACATAGATATTTGTTCTTTTTTTGTGTTAGTGTACACTTTGTAGGTCTCTATTAGCTAAATTTAAGATTGATGGTTGGCGTATGTTTAGAGTTGGACCTTGGGTGATTTTATAACTTAATGCTGGCACTCACAGTGATCCATCTATATGAAGAAAATATATAGCAATCAGTTGATATAGGAAGGGAGAAACATGACAGAAGTACAACGGATAGTTAGTCCCAACAAAAAAAATGGAATTTAAAAATATCAAAAGCTTAAAATTCAGCCAGTCTAACGCACCGCTCGAGCTTCCTCTAAAGCTGCCTTCAGGTCCTCAAACACAAGCTGTAAATTAAATTTAAAGTTAAGTTGCATACAGGATAGCAATCCTCAAGAGTTATGCAGGTGTGTGTTCGAATGTCAGTGTTTCATAACAGTAAGGGTGCAAGAAGAGCAGTAATACTTAGAAACGTACCTCATTAAGAAGTTTATTAAATCGCCCTTTAACAGTCTTTATAACTAGCTCATGGCACTTATCCTCATATCCTTTCCCCTGAACCTTCTGTTTTTGCAGTGTTAAATTTTTTGAAGACGCCGTTGCACTTTTAAATTTTCTGTGATTCATTAGCATTAAAAAAAGTAATTACAGAGACTGAAAGGAGACATTTTCTGGTAACTGGTTCGTGGTTAAGAAAATCATTAGCCTTACTGGTAAACATAGAGACTCAAAATCTAGGAAGTACCAACTCTTCAAAATGAATGTCAAGTCAGTGTCGGTCATGTCTGCAATTAGATATTTCTCAGATTCATTTGGATGACTGAAATCTTTCAAAAACAAAAAAATGATTTTTTTTACCAATACAGGTAGAATACTGCAATGGTTATTGATGGCCATATCTTTATTCTAAGTTTTTTTTCTAGGTATCTTTATTTTAATTTCTAAGTAAGGATATTTATTTTCAATTTTACATTAATTTATTGAATTGTGGTGTATAAATACTAGAATTTGCATATCTACAAATGATAGAAATTCAGAAAGGTAAAGAAGAGACAGCTTAAGTTGTGATAGAGAGCAGGGCACAAGTCACTGCAATTCTGTCAAGTCTGTTATGGTTCTGTTATAGGCAGTTAATCTAATTAACAGTTAGTTAGCTGTTACTTTTTTACTTTTCATATCGATTTGCTTACTCACTGTATAAGTGAGTCCTCTAAGTTCTATTCCTGCTTCTTTCTTTCTTCACGCCCTTTCATGGTATTCAGAGCTTTAAAGTTCCAGCCATGGGTCCCACAACTATGTGTACAGAAAAGAAAGAAAAAAAACACAACAATCTCTCCCCTCAAACACTAACCCACCACCCCTTAATGCTGTACCAATGAGTACTATCTGTTGAATATTTGAAATTCTGTTATGATATTATCTTATCTTATGGAAATATTATTCGTAACTAATAGGATAGATAATGATCAGAATAGACGATTAATCATCTCACTCAAACAAATGAAATAAAAAAAACTTGAAGATTATGTAGGATTGAGCAAGAAAACCATAAAGAGAAACAAATACTAGTATAATGGAAATCAATTCAAGATATAATATCATACATGGTACTTCGTTGAGGATTTGTAACTGGTGCAGGTGCGCCGTTCTCTTCATCAGGCTTGGCTGCTTCCTCTGCAACCTGTTGATCGAGGGTTTCTTGCATTTCAACAACCCTAAAGATTACATTAACTTTAGAAAGAGTATAGATTCCTCTAGAAGATTTCAAATTCCAATCGTCCAATCTATCAACAAAAGATTGGATGAAAGAAACAAGAAATGAAAAGGAAAAAAGAAGAAGTGAAGTGAAACTTTTTATCAATAAATACCGGAAAGCATGAACCAGTGTTTGTGGACTGCAAAAACAAAGGAGAAGAAAATTAAAATAGTAATTGAGGAGAAACTTGAGGATTCTTATCACAACCGAAGCATTAATTTCATGTTCTACAATGCAACGCATAATAATGCACTAAAGGAATAGAATATCACAATTGAATGTGTACTTTAACAAACATAAGGCTCAAATGTGTCTCTCAAAATATGGGCTAAGAGTCTAACTCAAAAACACAAATATGGCTTATAAGGTGAGGATGCTTAAGTCTTATAAGCACTACAAATGCCATATCTCTAGGAAACTGCAAGAGTGTACCACTGCAATGAAGTAACCCAATAACAAACTGCAAGAGTGGTTGCTATGAGAGAGACTTTCTAACAGTGTCCAACCTAAAGTCAGAAGATAGAAGTTTAAGTAGTTTCAATAACAATATGAAATGTTGTTTGAGATGTTCATCATAAAAATAAAAATAAAAACACAAACCTTTCTTTAGAAAGTTTATAGAAATTGGAAATGTTCCCCCAGAGTGTCTTCTCAAAGGTCTCCCAAGCTCGATTCACATCTTTAACATACTTTCTGAGACAAAGTCAAACACAAGAATAAGATGTGGAAGAATATATATTGAGCTTTAAAACTATATAAGAACGAAAAACTAACTAACGAATCATAAATCTAAAAATAAATATCTTACGTCAAATGATTAACATCCAAAACCAATCCATTTACAATTTTACATGTTTGACCAATAAATAACAACTTGTGTTCTAAGTGAACTGGTATTCCCAAACCAACAGCATAATGATCTCTAATATTGGATGATGTTTCCAGCATAATGATCTCTAATATTGGATGATGTTTCCAGCATAAATTTCCATTCCCAAACACATTATGACTTCATTGATTCAACACCAATATAGCACAATAAAGCAATTATAACCGGATTTATGGAAGTTGTAGGAATCAGCAAACATTTATTCTGCTACAGAAATAATAGCTAGCCTAGTATGTAATGGTAGAAGGGATACAGTTCAATCAGTAGCAAATTTCTATGTGGAATGTCGTCCTACTATCTCCTTGCCTCTGTAGCACTGACACCTGACACCTCTGAAAAAGGTGCATTGTCTGAAACTGACACTTGTGAAGTTGTGATTACATTAAATTTATTCATTTTTTTCAAATTATTACCAATGTTGACGAGTAAGTGTCGGTATTGTGTTTCCGGTGTCCGTGCTCCATAGCTCGCTTGTCTATGCTAACACTGAATATACATTGACAAGTTAAGAAGACACACATACACACACCTTAGTGCTCTAACCTCCTCCTTGCTGTGAGAGCCTGCTGCAGCTTGTAATGCAAACCTATCCAGAGTTTTTAACCTCTGCAAAACAATGCATTTTGAACAATAGATTAAGTTTCTATGAAAAATGTAAAATCATTGTTTACGAAAAACTCATAATCAAATTACATTTGAAGTAAACGCGCCCTAAGGATTGAAATAGAGTTCGATGAAGCTAACCTCATAAGTATTGAGAATTTCTTGATCATCGGTGAAAGAATCGTTGAGAGGATTCAGTGTCGCAAGTGCTTGAGGGTTTCGAGCTGCATACACCATAACCGTTTTTCTCGTTTCGAGCAGAATAGAATAATTGAAGGCAACGCCGAAAGGTGACACAGAGTGAAGTCAAGTCAGGTCATACACTTTTCTCTTATTTTTTTCAATCAAGTCAATATTTATTTATTTATTAACCACTTGCATGTATATGCAAGTTTGTATTTATTCGCTGATTTATATTTTGATTATTAATAAATTCTAAAAATATATTATTCAAAATAAAAGCATTATAATAAATTTTTGAGAAAATATTAAAGATCATAATAACAAACATTAAAAATAAATTTCATGTAAAATGAAAAAAAAAACGATTAGGTAAAAACATAGCGTCAAAAACTATATAAAAAATGTAATTAAAAAGTGAGTCTAACAATAATACAATTATTTATATTATAAGTTGAAAAGTTAAATTTAATTTTATATTTAAGTTAATAGTTAATTTTATTAGAATTGGGAAACACAAAATTAATGAATAATAAGAAATTTTAGCGTGGAGAGAGAAAAAGAGAGAAAGAATTATATAAAACATTGAAAATAATACTTATATATAAATGTTTACAAAAATGAACTAAAACACAAGTCATATCATCAAAATAACATAAAAATTAAATTCTCGAATTTATAATTGATTACATAAAATTATTTGTAATTGATTATATAAAATATGTAATTGATTACAACTAAAACAACTTCTAAAATTACAAAAATAATTAATAAATATTAAAAATACGTAATCAATTACACCAACGAAAATTTATCTTTTAAATTTTCATATTATTTTATTTCACACTATAATTGATTATCATCTATAATAACTCGTTATAATACTTGAATTATGAATTTCCTCTTAACAAATTTTATTTGACATAAAAAATATATATTTAAAAAATAAAACTACATATAAAAAATTGAATACCTTCGTTCTTTTCCAATCGTTACTTCTTTTTCAACTTTGCATATACCCAATTTTAAATTAATTTTTGTGTAATGTGTTTTTTGATTATAATTTTTTTATCTAATATTTATCAATGATAAATAATAAAAATTGTTCTTTCCATCTTAAAGATTGCTCACATACCTTAATAAAAAATTAAAATTTCTTAAGAATGTAAATATCTACTTTCGAATGCATCATCACACATAATTCATTCATAAGTGAGTTAGGCCTTAATTTTATGTCAAAAAATAATACTAAAACGTATCACCGTATAACTTACGCAAATATACATTCGAATGGATTTTTAATCAAAAATGTGTCAGACTCTTTTCATTCTTCTCCTTCCTCATTTCTAACATACAGTCTCAAACTTTCAAACCCTATCAAACTCGCAAACTCTTTCAACTCATCTCCCATGTTTCTACTTTTAACATTCAATCAATCAAAGTGCTCAACATCAAACACACATTTGGTATTTTTTTTATTTCTTTATACATTTGATTTTCATATACATGCATTTGTAGAACATGAGAATTAGGTTGTGTAATAAGTAGTTTAGATAGATATTTAACTGAGCAATGTGTTTGATATGTAGTTTAGATGAGCAACGCATTTTGAAAAAGTTAGATTTCTATGTATTTCTACCATTTTATTTTTTGCTGAGTTGTAGGTTAATACAGAAATGCAATTCCATATTTGTTCAAAACTTGATTTTCCATAAATACAAAAGTGTATTTTCGTATCATGTTTATTTTCATTGTTTAGCATGATTTTCATTGTGTTTCATCTTAGTTTGATTTTTCTATAATGTAATGTTTGTGTGGTTTAATTATAGGCAACATGGATGATAACAAATATCGAATAAGGCTCGACAGAATGTCGCAGCATGCGTCAATTTGTAGGGAAAGAACCAAACTCTTGTGACCACTAGTCGATTCTAGTTTGTTTGATGCGGAGGCGTCAACTTCTAGGATTCATGCATCTCCAACTTTGTCTTCCCAAATGAGTTTGGGGTTAGCTCCTGATGCCCCAAAAGTCCAGCCTGTCCAGGTTAAGGCACCTCAAGTTGATGTTGTTCTTGAGGAGTTTAGAGGAGACTCATACGACTTATCGCTACTACCTCTATATCCTGGCCATGTTGTCAGGCATGTGCGGGACGAAGAGGTAAAACTCATTTGTATTTATTCTTTGAAACACATGTGTTATAATATTTAAAGTTTTTGACGGTGATTTATTTTTCTGCAATACTCTGATGCTTTAAAATGCATCAACCATGGTCGGAAGATTGTGAGGTTGTGGTAGCCTAACAAGCAATGGTTACACGATGTGATGCAGTTATCTTGGCTGCGAGACTTATGCAAGATCGGTTATACTACTTTTAATTATGGTTTGTTGTGAGCGTTCATTGAGAGGTGGCACTCTAAAACATCATTTTTTTCCTCTTTATCATTGCGAGATGTCTATCATACTAGATGATATATCATGCTTGCTGCATATCCCAATCAAGGGAAGATTATTATACCACTCCAGGATTATTAAAGATGAGGCACTGAGACGATAGTGACATATTTAGGAGTTGACCTAAGGGATGTCGTAAAGGAGATAGGAGACACATAATGGTGTCATGCTATATTTGAATTCCTAGAGAGGTTGTATGCACAACAGCTGACAACGAGAGAGAAAGTAAATGGTGATGATGAGCATGTTATGAAGCATAAAGAATAAATATTTAGAGCATACCTATTATACTCGTTTGACACATTCATATTTGTGGACAATAATGCCTATTACGTGGATGTGGTTTACCTTAGATACTTCACTGACTATGAGCAGATTCATAAGTACAACTTGAGGTATGCTTGTTTGGGCTACTTGTACTTCAATTTAGCTGAAAGTTGTATGTGGAAGACCAACAAGATGACAACTAGTTGCACGCTACTGACAGTCATATATTTGCATCCTTTACTATTTTTGTACCATTTTCATAACATTGTGCTACCCATTTCTAATATTTCATATGTACTTTTTTCAGACATGGATCCTCAGTTCCGGTACTCAGTTTTTTTAACATTTTTTAACTTTTATTTTGTGTATCAGAAGACTTTGCAAAAGAGTTGCGGTAATCAATTTTATAATATTTTATAACTTTTATATTGTGTAGTGAGAGACTTTGCAAATGAGGTCAGATAGTTCATTTTTAAAAATATTTTTTAACTTTTATTTTATGTACCTGAATACTTTGCAAAAGAGTTTTGATAGTCAGTTTTTGAACATTTTTTAACTTTTATTTTGTGTAACAGAAAACTTTGCAAAAGAATACTGGAATGAAAAATAATTTTACTGAATTGGAACACTTGAAAAACGAGAGTGATAAAAAGTAAAAAATTCAAAAAAAAAAAAAAAAACTATTTATATGAGGAAATTTTGGTCAAAAAAATGTATAATGTGGGGGTAGAAAATAAATGATAGAGTAAGGGGTAAAATTATCACCTAATAAACACTCATTCAATCATTGAACATTTCTACCGTACCTATATTGCATTATTCTTGGAATGAAATATAAACTGCAACATATTGTAAATATTAGAGGTGATTTGTCACCATTTATGATTTTGTCAATGAGTTTGTTCAGTAACAAACTCCAGATTTCTCTGCCTCAAAACAGAGTCACCACAAGTGTATTTTGCGACTTAAATTCTCATCCTCAGAATACAAAGAATTATGAAAGGGGTCTATGTTTACTTGCATATTAAAAAATAGACTTAAATCCAAAACCACAAAGACCAATATCATCCAAGTTTTGCTTTATATAAAAATATTGGCTTAGATTTGTATTTGATTTTCTTAACCTATATTTTTTTTTTAAGAGTTATTAATAAGCAACTATAATCATCGCAAGTGTATATCCATAATTCAGTCACACAAAATTAACATCATTTCAAAACTCATCATAACTAGTGTATTTGATACTATTTTATTTGTTAAGAATTAAGATAATGGTTCATGAATTTTCTCTTTGATGAAGGCTTGCGTCTTGAGAGTGTGTTCATCTCAAGGTCTCAAGTTGAAATCTTGTTAGGAGCTAACAATCTATGTGTTGGACCATGCCATATAAAAATTTTCTCTAGCTTTAAATAAATCTATTTCTAGTGAAAGGTGGAATTGATCATTTCCTTAGATTAGTCGTTTATAAGACTGAATACCAAACTTCCAATAAAAAAGATAACGATTCATTGAATCAAAAATATTGCTTCTGCATATGTCTCACTAGAATAACCATTGATAAATCAAACTCATTTGAATCTTAACCCTCGTCATTTCGGGTCTTTGAAAAAATTTAAATATAGAAAAGAAATGAAAAAAATGTAAATTCTTTAACAAACAAAATAAATAGAAGTCCAACAATATATTTTATTTGTACGAAATAATTGAAAAAAAGACATCTATGTTTCATGAGGTAGTGCAATGTAGATAACTGAAACATGAGTTTAAAGATATCATAATTAATATTCAACCACAGAAAATTCAAAATCACATGATCGAGATTAGCGAGTTTATCGTCACACATGTTTCCTTCTCGTAAAATATGAGTATAAATCATGTTTATTTGAAGACTCTTATGATTAAACCATATGTTTTAGAGATCCCAAGGTATTAGAAAAACTTTCATGAGACATTGAATTGATGGGTCATGATTGAGGGGAAGACGATCACGTTGGATCAAATATCCATTTAAAGGTCAAAAACTCACATAAACAAGTGCGAGACACACCAAATATTCATCAAAAACCTTAAGATGATAGGTGCATGGATTATCTCTTATAAAGTGTTCAGCCTCCACTTTTCTAAACAATATGAGACTTAAAATCCACACATGTTTTTCAATATAACTCACACTTGTTTCTCAACAATCTCCCCCTCAAGTATGAGTCCATCCAATATGCTCCCCCTCAAGCGAAAGCTCTTCATCCACATGTTTGTACCTCCGTTGAGAGACACGTTTATATCGTCGTGGGCACTTCAACATGACATATCGTCTGACCACCATTTCAAGAAGACTTTC